CACTTGGACCATGACCATGACCCGTGCTAAGAACTCCCTCAAGCACACCTGGAGGAGGGAGAGGAGAGCTCTACAGGACAAGAAAGCGGACAAGTGGACACAGCCCTTGGGCTCCCATTACCATGAGAAGCCTGAGGCCCCCAACAGACCCTTGAGCATGAGGGCCAGTGCAGCTCAAGTGCGAGAAAGGCCCAAACCAGGGGGCCCTGGGGTAGTGGGGGCTGTTATTATTTACATGTACATAAGCATATTGACAAGTATAAGTTAACTACATGGAATGTAAGCCTCAAATCAAAGACTGCTACAGCCAATAAATAATTTAAACAGTGCCCAAAGTCTTTTAAAAAAAAATCAGCTTTCCTTAATAAGTGCAATTACCCGTAAATGTACTTAAACATAATATACTGAAATCATAAATTTATCTTCAAACAAGTGAAAACACTGTGCTATCTTTGCCATTAGCAATCCCATTTTCATATTTGTTCAGTAATAAGCAAAACATATTTCTTTCAGCATCCCACTAATAGCAACTATCATTGAGCCTCTGCCTAAGGATCTGGTTTGCTGAGCAGTTTAACATAAACGGTAATCTTTACCAACAGAATGAAATGCTACCATGTGGCCCGCTTCTGGACTAGAACGGCAGCACATCTCTCCTGAAGAGAATGCAGCAGCCTCCTGGCATGTCCATGCACTTCAAACTTCTGTTGGATATAGGAAAATGGAGAAGGAAAGGAAAAATGAACTCTAAAGACTGTTACTACACAACTTTTCCCCTTGATCTTCATTTAATAAATTGTGTCTTTCAAATGCTTAAATTTCCAGAATATAAAAACAGCTCATACAACTTAATGGCAAAAAAACAAACAACCCAATCCAAAAATGGGCAGAATACCTAAACAAGCAATTCACCAGTGAAGACACACAAATAGCCAAGAGGCATATGGAAAAAATGCTCAATACCGCTAATTATTAGAGAAATGCAAATCAAAACTACAATGAGGTATCACCTCACATCAGTCAGGATAGCCATCATTCAAAAGTCCAAGAACAATAAATGCTGGAGAGGGTGTTAAGAAAAGGGAACCCTCCTATACTGCTGGTAGGAATGTAGTTTGGTGCAGCCTTTATGGAAAACAGTATGGAGATTCCTCAAAAAACTAAAAACAGACTTACTATATGATCCAGCAATCCCACTCCTGGGCATATATCTGGAGGGAACTCTTATTCAAAAAGATACATGTACCCCAATGTTCATAGCAACACTATTTACAATAGCTAAGACATGGAAGCAACCTAAATGTCCATCGACAGATAGCTGAATAAAGAAGTTGTGGTATATTTCTAAAATGGAATACTACTCAGCCATAAAAAATAAAAATAATGCCTTTGCAGCAACATGAATAGAACTACAGATTGTCACTCTAAGTGAAGTAAGTCAGAAAGAGAAAGAAAAATACCATACGATATCACTCATATGTGGAATCTTAAAGAAAAAAAAAGGACACTATGAACTCATCTACAAAACATAAACAGACTTGCAGACATAGTAAACAATCTTCTGGTTACTGGGGGAAAGGGGGTGGGAAGGGATAAATTTGGGAGTTTGAGATTTCCAAATGTTAGCCACTGTATATAAAATATATATTTTTAAAAAGTTTCTTCTGTATAGCACAGGGAACTATGTTCAATATCTTGTAATATCCTTTAATGAAAAAGAATATGAAAATGAATATATGTATGTATATGCATGACTGGGACATTGTGCTGTACACCAGAAATTGAAATATTGTAATTGATTGTAATTCAATTTAATTAATTAATTAATTAATTTTGTCTTTGAAAGAGAATATATTAACTTCAGGTTTAGGAGCAAAGAAATTTTAGACTTATAGTTGCTTTCTAGTTATAGATGATAGATAGATAGATGATAGATAGATAGATAGATAGATAGATAGATAGATAGATAGATGATGTATGTAACATATGTACATTTTTCAGAAAAATTAGCAACTTGACATAATCTACTAAGCTAAAGAATATTCAAAATTTTTCTGCCACAATCGTTTGCCTCTTGTGCCTTGAGAAAGACATGACCAGAAATTCCTAAATATGGTAAAGTCATAAAGAAGAAACATATCAGAATTCTGACATTTGTTCATCTTGTTTGGAACATGAAAAATATTAAATAATGGCTTCCTATTTATACACTAAACATAGTTCCTGGCACACGGCAGTCACTCAAATTACAAGTATGATCACTGGCTGCCAGTGAGCCTGGGGCCACACTGGTCCAGTAAACTGGGCACAGCGGCACTGTACATGGTATAGAAAGAACTCAGAGGCGGCTATGGACAAGGCCTGCACAGCACACGCTAACAGAGGCGAGATCTCGGTCAGCAGAGCACCAGGAAAACATAAAATAAAAAATAAGGTTATAGCAATGTATCCAGCACAATACCAGGAAGGGGCTACCTCACGAGAGGGCTGGTGACTCCCTGAGGTTTCAACAAAACAAAGAAATTTTCTGATTCCAAGTTTGCTTTCACAGATTTTCCTAGAAGGAAAGAATACGTTTACCAGTTGACTTGAGGAGTCAGGTCTCCTTCTCAGTTATACTTCCCAAAGTAAACGATTAAACTGACACTTGGCTGTCACTTCAAGTTGTGAGTTGGTCGGTCTAACTTCCCCAGAGCTGTCAACGTGGGGCACGTTATTAGTTTGCTAGGGCCGCCATAACAAACTACTACAGACTGGGTGGCTTCAACAGTAGAAATTAATTTTCTTATGGTTCTGGAGGCCAGAAGTCCTGGATCGAGGAGTTGGCAGGTTGGGTTTCTTCTGAAGCCTCTCTCCTTGGCCTGCAGATGGTAGCCTTCCCAGTGTCTTTGCATGGTCTTTCCTGTGCGCACGTGTCTGCTGCCCAAATTTCTGGGTCCAAGTTTCCTCCTATCATGAGAACATCAGTCAGACTGGAGTAGGGCCCACCCCAACACTCATTTTAACTTCATCACTTCTTTAAAGGGCCTACCTCCAAATACATTCTGAGGTAATGGGAATGATGGCTTTAACATATGAATTTGGGAGGAGGGGAGGGTACAGTTCAGCCCACAACAGGGCATGTGGATAAAGTGTAAGTTTCTGGGCCTATGATGTTAAGGGCAAGACTCTGGGCCACAGTGATCAATGAGGGAAGTTGTCTCAGTTAATGTCACCTGACACAGCAGGCCCATTTCCTGTAGTGCATCCATTAAGACAATGCAAGGAACATGCTTATTCCCTAACCCCATTCAGAGCGTTCATGTCCTTTTAAAAATATTTTTGATTTTCTTATATTTAGCAATTAAAATAGTTTATATTCCAACTTGGCAAGAGACTACATAAATCCTAACTGGTATATTCATTCATCCTACATGCATTTTCCTTACCTTATAAATTCATTCTAGTTCAGTTTTAGTACTGGACTTATTGAATCTAGAACAAAATCAGAAATAACACACAACGGAGGGGTGGTGGGGCCGAGGGGAGGG